GTGGGGAGGTGGGCAAAGCCCCATCTTTACAGACATGTTTCTTTTACCCTTCTCATGTGTTTTTTGCGGTTTATCTTCCTACGAACGCTTGCCCTCAGATCTAGGGCCTACCTCAGTGGTCCAGGGATCTCATCTCTAGATCCTGGACTCACCTGCATTTGCGATGACTATTTTTCCAAATAAAGCTTGGGATGTAGACATATCTTTTGAAAGTCATCAATCAGCCCACGAGACCTCCCCTGTCAAAATATACTGCTCTGTGTCTCATTCTTTGAGGTCCCCAAAAATGTTAAATATTTTGAACACAGACACCAATGTGCCAGGCTTTACTGCGCTCTTCTAAAGAACACCTAGAGACTTGTACCCTAGGGAGCCTGTACGAGCTGGGATATCAGACTCCACCCTGGCCTCTGAAATGGACACCCTGGCAAAAGCTTCTTTTATCGGCAGCCCTTCACCAGACCCTCTTGCTGGGGGTCTGTCCGATTGACCCAGTCACAGGAGTTCAGGGAGAGTGGGAAAAGCTAGTTAACATTTCATTGCCCCAGCTTGCTTTACAGCTTTTGTTTCTTTCTCTTTGTCATGCTTCTGTCTAAGCCTTAGGGGACCTGGTTGTGACTGCCCCCATTTCCTGACCTTGGCCGCAGTGCGTGACTCCTTCACACCTGAACTCCAAGTAGCATTGCCAGATTTTAGAGTTAATGTGAACCACTAACAAAACAGAATGCTAACTTGGAGTCAGAAGACCCAAGTCCTGTGCTGTGCTAAGCAATGTACAAGCACCTTATTTAATCCTGGGACCATCAGGGGACGGGCAGTAATGAGCTTTGCAGAAGACTGGAGACTCAGGGGCCTAATGACAGAGCAGGGCATGGACTGGACGGACTCTCTCACCCCAAACGCATGTTCTCCATGCCTCTCCTGAAGAACTCAGCAGCACTTTGTTTTGTTTTAAGACTGATTTATTTATACAAGAACTGGGGTACAGGCCAGAGGTGCAGGCAGTGAGTAGATTCACCAGAGACAGAGTTGGGAGCAGAACAGGCAGACTGACCGAAACATACTGCTGAGCGGAGCAGCAGAAGAGACAGGAGGGGTCTGCTGCACCGTGTGGGCCACCTCCCTGGCAGTGGCTAGAACTCCATGCCAAGTGGCTGCAGGTATCTTCATAGTGCTGAGCTTTAACCGGTTGAACACCAGGGAGGGCCCTCAGCAACCCTTTGAATGAAAGGTCTTGCTGGAGGAAGTGGGGGAGAGAGACCATGGCTCTGCTTCCAGAAACTCAGGACAAAGGCATGTGCCGGTTGACCTGGGGCCCGGAGTGCGCATGTGTATTTACTAGTCCGCCTAGTACAGGACTGGGCAGTCTCAATGTGCAGAAGTGAGAGGGGCAAGAGAGCACAGGATCCTTCCAGTGCTCCCTGTGAGCATAGGGAGAGGGGAGTGCGAGGGAGAAAATTCATTTGTCCTAACAAGTCTAGTTTGGGGGAGGGCGGGAAGCCCTTGGCACTCACAGGGGGACCAGGCAACCCTCCTGCCGCACTCCAGCAGGCAACGCAACGGCCCCACCAGGGTCTGTCCGCTAACCTGTTGTGCCTCTTGGGAAAATCACATGTATTTTCAGACTACTTCCCTTGCATTATTTTACTGAATCCTGACAATAACCTCAGAGGAGGATGTTCCTACCCTCACTCTACAGATATGGCGATGGGCCCAGAGGGCACAGGGAGCTGGCCCAAGGTTACCAACCGCCAATGGCAGTGCCATGATTTCAGCTTATGTTCCCTAGCTCCAGTTCAGAGCTTTGTTTTGTTACAGTGCCATGTTAACTCTAAAATCTGGCAATGCTAATAGAAATTCGGGCGTGAAGGACTCAGGCAAGGCAGGGTAAGCTTCGGAAATGGGGGGTGTCGCAACGAGGCTCCCTAACCCACATGCTCCTTAGCCGTCCGCCAGCCTTTGTCTACCTCTGCCTTCTTGGACTTCAAAACCCAAAATCTCCTCGCTTTGAAACATTCTAGATTGAACACTTCTGACTCCAGGGAGGGGAAATGCTCTTTCATATATGTTATGTTTCCTTAGCCCACATGGTAAGCCAGAGAGTACTTTCAACATGCCCACCTCCCCACGAGCACGGGCTCAGCCCCCTCAACAGGGACCGCAGCCTCCTTACTCTCTGGGGCTCAGCGGGGCCCAGCTCAGGGAGGTGGGGCAAAGGCCCTCAGTCTGGAGTCCCCGGCACAGACCCATGGCTCTGCACCCCGGCAGCACCCCAGGCAGCCCCGCTCCCTCCTCCCCCGGCTGGGTGTCCAGGTGACTCATCCCTTTCCCTGGAGGCCCCGAGCCTGCCCCTGCCCAGATGCCAGTG